TGGGTACAATGATGTAAATAAGAAGCTTGAATTATTCTTGGAGGTTGTTAACAAATTCATTCATTAGTTTATACATATTATCAAACCGAACACTAATAAATATCTTCCCTGGTTCAGTATGGACTTGATTGATCACTTGCGAGAGAAAAATAAAGTTAGACTAAGGTACAAAAATGCACAACACCTTGGACAAGATATGTCCAGTTATTTGCATATTACAGACAGATACTAACGTTTTATTTATATGTAGTATAGTACGTATAGAGTATTAGATGTATAGATTAATAGTGCGGATACTTTATGAGAATGTATACTATCTTTATTAAGTAAAAGTACGCGAGTAACATCTTTTTAAAAAGACAAGACAAGGCAATATTTTTTTATAGAATAAAGGGCGACCAACGATATATAACGACTGAACGCTGCAAAAAATTGGCCTCAGAATACTTTGATGGCAGATTGTAATAGTGTGATACAAAACGGTAATGACATATGCAACAGCTTTACATCTTACTTTATCTCTGCTCTCCTTCAATCTTGGTATCCCCTTTTTTTTTTTGCGGATGGAAAATCATCTAATGACGCCTTTCGCTCTGGGTGGAGCGTAAGGGAGTGTCAGACTTTTACTGACTAAAAACCATCCGTGTTCCTTCAGTGCCCTTACGTTCCGGAGCCGCGGTATCTCTTTCGAACAGCCCGCAGCCCCGGCAGGCGTTGGCCCTTGCGGGCCCCTTCACGCTGCTGACAGCTCTTTGAGACGCGCGTGGAACAAAACGCGCCGTCGACACGGCCTGTCGTCGTTAGACGGACGGACGGCGAGCTACCCATTGCTCGCCGTCCACAGGCCCGCGCCTACGATGGCCGGGGGCCACGACGTAGCCCCCGACGCCCGGGGCGTCTCCCGCGGCGGAAATATGTCACGCTTCATGCTGCTAATGTAACAGTTTTTAGAGCTGACTTTTCTGTTTCACGAGACGTCGAGTGTAGCTACACACTCATTTCTGCTTAGTTAAGAATAAAAACGATGACGCGTTCGTGTAGTATCTATTACAGTATCTAGGTATATAAAAATCTTTGGCATAAATGATTTTATAGAGGGGATGTCGCCATAGTTGGCGGCAAGCTCGGCAGGCGGCTTGATAAGTGCAGTTTTCTTTTCAGTTGTTATCACAAAGATGTCGCTGCCCGTCTTCGTTTTCAGTTTCACTTTGTCGCCTCTTACGACACCTAACGGACGATATGGACTACTGGCGGTCTGTCTTGATGAATAAGATGAAATGTTCATATCAGCAAAAAATGTCTCCGGTTCTCGTCTCTCATCGTACGAGAAAGCAGTACAGATATGGTCCTTCCCGATCAAGCCAATCCATTCGTGCTGCAGCTACTATTTTTATGTCAGTAGAATGACCAAGGAGCTCATAAACAAAGAAAGTTGTAACGTGTTATCATCCATGAGCCGATTAAACGGTTAACAAAGTGTTAATTATACTAGCACTTCTGTAGTATGGGGTAGAGTAATATGTAGTAAATACTACACCACAAAATTGTGAATGAAAAAAAAACAATGATATTAACGCTATAAATATTAAACTTTCACCACTTCAGGAAAGCTTACGCCGGATTTACATTTGTCTGACGTGTTGTGTTGTGACGCATCAGATGGTATCGGTTTCATACATTTAGTATGGTGAGATTTATATTTGTGTATCGCGATCTGTTGTGATGGCTTCTGATGCGACGCATCAGACGAGATTCCGATCGCATCAGAGGGGTGGAGGTGGGTGGGCGGGGGAGCGGCAGACAAGTGTGCACGCGACACAGTATTGCGTTGTGACGCGTCAGAGCCACGTACGTTTTTGTTTATCCACTCGATTTAAAGTTTTAGAAAAGAATTTAAAGTATGGACGACTTGATAAAAATAGTACGACAATATAAAGTGATTTATGACACCAAATGTAAATAATATAGGGACCAATCCATTAGACCATCTGTTTGGGAGGAGATAGGAGAAAAAATTAAACAACCCCGTAAGTACTGTACTGCTTTATTTAATTAAACCGTGTTCTACCTTGTTTAATAGCTTGCATTTGCCATGGAACTTGTCCCTGGGGACTTACAAAATATGTTTTATATGCTTCACGAACTTGAATAGCTTCTTGAGACGGATTTCTATTTAACGGTTCGATGTCTACTAAGCCATTACCGTCGCTCACCTCGCTTTCATCCATCAAAGTTTCTTGTGTTTCCTGTGTGTCTTGGGGCAAAGAGTTATGAAGGCAGCAGGCAGCAAGTACGATCTTGTCCGCCATGTTTGGTTGTACTTGTAAAGGTCCCTGAAACACTCTAAATCTAGCTCGTAATATTCCAAATGCATTTTCTACAGTACGGTGAGCACGTGATAAGCGATAATTAAATATTTTATTTGGGTTATTGTTAACTAATTTAGCTTTACTGTACGGTTTTAATAAATACGTTTTCAGTGGGAATGCCGCGTCTGCCACAATAGTGTAGGGTAAAGGTAACATTTAATTGACTGCTTTCAAACATTTTTCCCATTAACGACTCTTGGTAAATGCCACCATCACTATTTCGGCCATACGCTCCTACATCTACCATAATAAATCTGTAATGCGCATCAACAAGTGCAAGCAGTACAATAGAATGCTCATTTTTATAATTATAAAAAGTGGATCCTGCATTTATTGGACATGTTATAGAAATATGTTTTCCATCCAATGCTCCAATACAATTCGGAAAATGCCATACATTTTCGAATCCTTTCGCAATCTCTCTCCACATTTGTTCTGTAGGCTGGGGTATTACAATAGGGGCCAAATTCTTCCAAATTGCGTTACACACTTGTTCTACTATGTTCTTTACTATACCAAACCCCATACGGTAATTGAACCCCAATGATCGAAAAGAATTTCCAGTTGCCATAAATCTGTAATATAAAAACACAGATAATTTATTTTTGTTTCAGCGGAAAAATGTAAAGATGACTGGAATAAATTACGAAATAGCTACGTCAATGCATTGAAACGCCGTAAAAATAAAAAAAGTGGGCAAGCCGCTCAATTTATCCCGCCATGGAAATATGAAGAACAAATGAGTTTTTTACAGCCATTTATGGAATCAGGGTCGACAACAACAAATCTTTCATCACCTCCTGAATCTCCAGAATTTCACTCAGAAAGTACTCAATCAGACAATTCTCGTCCAGCAACACCACATACTGGTAGTTCCTCGCACTCCCAACAGCCTGTTAGAAAACCAAACTGGTTTTTTTATACGATATGGATCTATATGATATGATGAAGTCTTCGCACGATTTGAGAATCCATAAGCATCATTCAAAGCAGCAGCAGGATAATATGACGGATGAAACAGACTTGTTTTTTCTGAGCATGAGCAAAGCAGTTAAAAAACTTCCGAAACTAGATCAGACCAAAATAAAATTGGATTTGCACACTGCTGTATCACAAGCTGAAATAAGGAAACTTCAGACACAAGCACAAATTCTTAGAACACCAATTAATGTGACTCACCAGATAGTTACTCGGCCACAACAACCGCTGCCACTCCAGCTACCCATTCAACCATCCACATCCATGACGACATTTCCAGCAGTCCCAGCTACATCAACTCTCGACAACATCAACTCTCAACAATCGGCCTCAACACTTTATAATTTTGAAGAAGATAACATCTCATCATATTATAGCAATGCAGACTTTTCTGATGATAACTGATTACCTGTCTTTACTAATAATGTTAAAAAAAAAAACAAATAAATCCTTACCTTAAACACACAGCAAGTCTTTCTTTTGTCCCTATAGGTTTACGAAACTTCGTAGTTGTATTTTTTTATGTCCCCTTCAATCAATTAATGAACTTCCTCGAACTGTGCCTTGGACATTCTAAAATACTGATGAAATCTTTGAGCATCGTTCTCAATCTCTTTAGAGACAGTGAAACTGCTTTGACTCTCTTTTATTATTCACTGGATGAACCCAATATCTTCTTCTCTTTATTTCTTTCTTTTTTATAAGAGTTGCCAGCACCAAAAATTCAATATCTTCTTTATACTCTGAATCAGAGTCGGATGATTCATGGGAAAACATTGTAAACGTGTGAACTCTCCGAGAGCTATAACTGTATTGATTCAAAATATCGTCAGAGGCCGTCAGAACACAACATAAAGATGTGAACACTAGCCGTCACGTCAGAGCCCGTCACAACACAACACGTCAGACAAATGTAAATCCGGCTTTAATTTGCTGTCGTTAGTAGTTCACGTTCAGTCGAATAGCGGATTCGAACACACGACTTTTGTCTTCACGATACGCATTACGCACCTTATAATGTATATTAGGTAAGCGTATATTCGGTACTTATGTATGAGCCGTGGTAGCTCAGATGGTTAACGCTCGCTGTAGTACTCTGTAGTACGCGAGTAACCCGGGTTCGATCCCCGCCGGCACCAATGAAATTGTTAATTGCAATTTTAAGTGCTGATTTACCACGTGCTTGGTGGTGAAGGAAAACATCGTGAGGAAACCTGCATGTCAGAGAAATAAGGAAAAAAATATTTCGAAGACATGTGAAGTTCGCCAACACGCACTGGGGCAGCGCAGCGGACAATTCCTTGCTCTAAAACCCTCTCAGAAATGAGCGGAGGCCTATTCCCAGCTGTGGGACGTATATAGGCTGTAATTTTACTTTACTTTATATTCGGTACTTATGCGTAACAACTGTTTATTTAAATACAAACTCGTCCTTGATCTATAGATATAGCCGCATTTACATAGAACATTTATTTAGTATGTAGGTACCTACCTTATAACCGGGATATAGTTAGGTCTACTGCTGCTTAGAGCGACAAAAATGTGGCGGCAAATAGACTGATAACAGCATCCAGTGACAGATTAGTTCTAAATTCTAAATCTTCATAGCTGTACATTGAATATTGATTATTAAAAAACTATTTTTTTTTTCAGATCCGCAAGAAGTGAAACTTGTAAAGAAGGAGCATTTCAACGGCTGGTACAGTTTATCGCCTTACTATGCCGCTTTGACAGTCTCCAAGTTACCTGTTCAAGTGACGCTCAACATCGTATTTTGTACGATCGTGTATTTTATGGTTGGAGTGCCATTTGGCACGTCCAGGTTCATTTGCTTCTGCCTTATAGGTAATGTTGTTTCACTGGCCTCTGAAGGACTGGGCCTGGCCATTGGATCCATGTTTAGCGTCAGGGTAAGTTATTAATGCATTAGTATAGTTTGAATTGTGTAATCAGCGGAATAATAGTTTCTTTAGCGCGTAGGTAAAGTCAGACAGAGTATTCGATTACCTAGTCCTAGCTTCGAATTCCAGCGGGAGCTACCATTCGTGCAAAAATATATAAAAAGCGCGCAGAATGTTTACCGATGACCCCCCCCCCCCCCGCAACTCTGACCGACCGTGTACCGCGCCCTTCTACTCTGCAAGGTTAGCCAATTTTAATGGAAAGTGGATAGTTACTGTCGGAGTAGAGGCCTGAGTATAGTTCGATCGATTGCGAGGGATGATATGCGTAATAAATATCTACATTGTTGACTCCAAATAACATGGGATATAGGCGGGCAGATGATGTTAAAGCTTATAGAAAGTTATAAAAAGGAATACGAATGACATAATATAATCCGATGGGACGGCAAACCGACACGACCGAAGAAAGATCAGCCAACGGTTTTTCGTGCTTTATGAGGCACAGGGGTAAAACACCGCCAACTTACTCACTCTGGGCTGCTACTGGGAATTTTTTGACAGAATAACTCAACAACTGATTTTTATGGTCCGACCCAAAATTCGAATCGGGGATCTTACGAGTATGATCAGCGAAATTTTGGAATAAAAATATTTTGTCTACGATTATGACTATGTAATATAATTAACCTGTACGAAGTCACATTGCCTGCGTTCAGACGCGCTGCACACGGAAAGGAGACGAGGCACCTTCCATACAGAGCTTCACCCTTTAGTACTGGTGCGTTTCGCATCTTTGAGCGGCAAATACAGTTGTATTATACGTGGTAGAGCCACGCTGAAGCTATATTATGGTTGTAGCACGAATGGGTTGGCACGACTGGGGAAGGACCACGCTCTCACAGAATAACAGCGAAAAGTAACAGCTTAATACTCCTTGTTTCGTGTGGTGAGTGTAGAGTGTACGGAGACCCTTTTTTACTGCAAACGAGGCATTCTATCTTAGAGCTCAAGGGTGACAACGCATCTGTGTTTTGATTCTTATTCGAGGATAAATGTAGATGTCTATGGGCCACAGCATCCACTTACCATCAGGTGGACTGTGCGTTCGTTTGTCACTCTTATTCTATTAAAAAAAAAACTGCGGTAATGACAAACGGCCACACAGTCTACCTGATGATAAATGGATGCTGTTACGTATAGACATTCATAGGAAACAAGTTTGTTAAGCTCAGTCAGTGCGCTTCACCGTCATCGGCTGCACACCACTCACAATCGGGTGGAATAGAATAGTTAAAAAAATACGTGTGGCACTCGGTGACTGCCGCGGTAAAGCTATTGCATAGCATTTTTTATCAACTTATGCAATTATAATTATTTATTTATTTTATTTATGCAGTTAAGGTCTTTGATATTAAATCAAGTTACACTTTTTGAGCGTGGTGACCGATAATAAAACAATTATTTTTCTCTTATTGAATAAATGAGAAGTCAATATTGTTTAAAATATTTTTAATATCTTACAATACATGTAGGTTATTCAGGAATTTTTATCATTGAGTTAGTGTAGTTAGAGCAGCTAGTGTACACGCATACGTCTAGTCGCACGCACACAAACACCGTGCCGAAGTCTGCCGAGTGCCGAAGTCTGCCGAACTGAAACGACGTTAGACGATGCACGGCTTTCAACGCCACACCTCCGTGTCCGTCGGAGTGGGGAGCGTGAGGTTTTTTTTCGTTACGGAATTTCTGGATTCGGTCCCCGCGCTCAAGGCCCGCGATAGAAGCTATGCAAGAGCTTAAAAAAACATATTATGCTGCTATATTATAATGGTATTCTGTGACAGCATGGCCCTCCTTTGATATACCGTTACCGTTACAGCTTATTAAAGTCCACAGCTGAACATAGGTCTTCCTCATAGATTGGTTCATACCCCACTATGAGATATATTCACCATCGTTGGCACGCTTGGCAAGCGGGTTGGCCACCGCAGTTTTTTATTTTTAAACGTTATTAGAAAGACGCTGCTGCCCATCTCCGTATTTGTTTCCCTCTGTCGCCTCCTACGCAGTGTTGCCAACTTAACGGGTTTCCCGTTAGATTTGACGGGACAGCGAGGCTGGCAATGGGAAAAAATTGTATTTAACGGCTAAGGGATTTTTAACGGGACAACAAATATTTATGTTTTTTAGATTTGTTTTCGAAATAAAAATAATTTGAAAACGGCAAAAATTAAATTATAATTTTTATCATTTTTTTGTATAAAAATACAAAAAAAATGTGCAATACAATAAATGATTGACACTTGTCTACCGTACTTGACGGGATTATAGTCTTCTCTACAACTGGAGCTAGATTTTAATGTTGGCAACACTGCTCATACGACTCATACGGATTGATATGGTGCACTCTACGCCACTGCATGATGCTATAACACATAATTTATATTTCAGAACGGTTGCGCAATTGGACCAGCAGCGATCGCTCCATTCCTAGGCCTGGCTATCTACGGTTTCGACTTCGCTCACCGCATCCCTTTGTTAATGAACATCCTAATGAAGACTTCGTTCATCCGCTGCGGCGTGGTCGCCATGGTTTTGACCATTTTCGGCTTCGGCAGGACTCCCTTAGATTGCAAAGATGTCTACTGCCATTTTTCGAAACCAGACGTTTTATTCAAATACTTAGATATAGAAAAGAGCTCGGTCTGGTTCGAAATCGGTATTATGGTCACATTAATGGTCATATTCAGATCACTATGCTATATGGGTTTAAAATGGAGATTTGCCACATGATTTCATTTCTAAATGCAAAACGTGTTTTGTGATATATCTTATCTCTATAAAGCTTCGGCAGTACTAAGTGAAATGTGATAAAGTAAGACTAAATAACGTAGACACCTATTACATTGGTTTTAATATTTACGTCGAAGTTACGCGCTGTTAGCCAAAGATAGAACTTGACGTATCAATATTGTGACTGAATTAATCCTGTAAATGTACTCTAAGTAAATAATATTGGTGTAATGACAGGACAATAAATAGTGATATGCAAACGGCACCTCCGTTTATTTTGTGTTGTTGAATTTGTTACACAAATTCACCCAGTATCAAACACTTAAGAATGAATATGAATTAATTCTTAGCTTTAAAATAAATTATAAAACATAAAAATATTTATTACTTCTTTTATAAGATACTTCGCTAAAATATCATTTAAAATTTTTCAAATATTTGGAAATCCAAAAGTGCACGCCTCACACGTTTATGATGTTGAAAATAGTGACGATAATTTTTACAAGAAAAAAAGGTGTTGAGTTCAATAACAAAATCAAAAGGGATCCTCTTGATTTTGTTATTGAACTCAACACTGATCTTATTTAATACTATATATGTCAATCTATAGCTTACATTTATATTAGCGTAGCGTAGTCCATATATTCTTTCATATAACATTTTTGTTATGTAATCTTAAAGTGAATCAATTACAAAACAAACTAATATTATAACTCAATGTCTGTAGCTATAGTAACTTTAAAAATTAAATTGGATTTGATGTCTAGCTAAAAGTATAAGAAAAAATCGTTCTTATAATTTTAGCTAGCTGTATGTAGCGAAATTGAGGCCCCATATCAAGAGTAGAGTACTGCCTCACGTTGTGAGGCGTGCAATATTCTGTATTGACTGTTATTTATGTCGCATTACCGATTAAAGTAAATTATTGTAATAAAAATCTATGATGAGGTATTGATTATTTCAAAAGAAAAGGGGGGTACAAGACTTATTTATATAATTTGACAGTTGTTCTTAAAAGGCTCGCGTATACTATTGTCACGGCTCGCGGTGCGCTGCGGTATGGCCCGCCTGTACTGTAGTGTGTGATAGTTGTAGGGTATGTTCCAAAATAGAACCCAGTGTACTGGCCAATGCAAATGACGTCATAAATCGACGCTATACTGGTTATTCGTTTCAAAACATTGGACAGTATATGACAGCATACATTTGCGCCTGTTGGAAAAGTGTTGGCGATTATTTTGTCATTTTGTACTCCAAAAATCATTATATCCTCCTTATGGAGATACCAGCAATTATTCTATAATTTTTTTGTATTTAAATAAATAAAAACAAATTCTGGCATGCTTCATTCAGCGTGCACACAATTAAAAATTGTTTTAATATGGCCGGATATCCACAATATGGCGGCGGCACGCCAGAACAATATGGCGTCAATTAATGACGTCATTTGTATTCGGCAGTATACTGGAAACATTTTGGAACATACCCCATATAAAATGTACGATTGTGATGTAAGATTTTTGTGATGCGATGCGGTGTGGAGCGGCCCGCGCTAATGTGCGCGAGCCTTAAGTAAACTTTTAAATAAAAATATTGTATGTGTATACTTGAACGTGAAAGGACTAAGCAGAACAGAATTCAGTGGGTAGTATAGGACAAAACTGTATATAATGGAAGGGTAAATCAATATTACTTAATTTATAAAACGTGTATTTATTGATCATTTAGAAAGAATGAATGCGAAGACTGACAAAGCAAGTGAATGGAAGAGTCGGAAAGGGACGTCCTAGGCGGAAGTTTGTCGACCAAACTGGCGATATACTAAAAATGGGCCAAATTAAGAGTACCCTTAACCGACGAGCATGTATGCGTAGGTATATGGATGTGGAAGAGGCGAGAGAGGTATGTCAGGATCGTGCTAAATGGAATTCTGTAATCTCTGCCTACCCCTCTGGGTGACAGGCGTGAGTGTTTATGTATATGTATGTGTATTTATTTCGCAACTATAATTACTTGGCGGAAGTTGACGAAAAATATTTAAGATACAGATAACAAATGTACTTTGTAAGGTTCATATTTAGGAAAAAAATGGGAGTACTTATGATTATAGATTACATTACTGACGCAATTCACATTTAGTACAGGCACCACTACTGGGAAAAACATAATATTGATAAATCTATTTACAGAATGGTCCAGTACAAGCTTAAGTTATATTTCGGTAAAAAAAAATATTTTAAGTTTCATTAGTTGTCAAATACCTTGTGTAAGCTTCGATTGGACCATCGTCCTAGATAAACAAGGGAAAACGAAACTCGCACCGACAGTTCACACTTGGTATACATAATTAATAATAATATAATTATTGTTGTCGCAATTAATCAATGCGGTAACGTCGCCTAAGTTTTAGTATTTTCAACCGACGTCAAAAAAGGAGGAGGTTCTCAGTTCAACAGTATTTTTCATGTGTGTGTTACCTCAGAACTTTTCTCTATGTGAACAGATTTTGACGATTCTTTTTTTATTTGAAAGCTGGTGCTTCTCAAGTGGTCCCATAATTTGATCAAGATCTGACCAATGGCTTTTAAGTTATCCTTAATAATGCGTATTTACTTGACTTCGACGACATTAATGATGTTTTCATTTTATTCATATTGAAGTCGGTTGTAAAAAAAATTAATTTTACCACATGTTTTGATATTTTCGCACTGAATTGCGTCGTAATTCTAATTATAATTTCTATAATGTAATAAAATATAAAATAATTTATAACAATACTCAGTGATAAATTTTTAATAATATTTCCATTTTTATTCTATGACAACAGCTGAGTTGTAACAAAAATATAAAATAGTGTTGTTATAACGAAAATAAATACAAAATAAAGTTTTTGTACTTTTGTAATAAAACAGGTATTATAGAGTGAATTTTGTTTTATTTCATTTGAATATATAATATGTACATACTATGTTGTATACAGAAAATATTTAAGAAAGAACATCACTGTTCCTAAACTGAATATATTACTACGTTACATTCATTTTCTACCACTACCTTTATCTCTCCGTTTTTTAATGTGTTTTTTAGTTTTTGTTTTTCTTTTCTCGGCCTTTTCCTCTTTGACAGCTTTTTTTCTTGCTTTCTTACTATCGGGTGACTCATCTCTTGGACGTGCGCTGTTTTTAAATTTAGTTTCTGGAATATAAAAATAAAGATTATACTGAAAAATTCAATAAAATATATATAAATTACAACTGCCCTACATATAATGTAAATAACAGTATTGTTCGATGACAATGACAACTCGGATCAGTCGTTCGACTGATCTGTATATTGTAGGAGTGCGAACGGTCTGTGTTGGTAAACAAATCGGAAACACAATCGTTATTTTTGTAATTTTCAAGTTTAAAAAGAAAAATATAGAAACAATGTCATTAAAATTACTTTATTTTTATTTTTTATTTATTTACATCGAACTTATATTTAACGTTACAGGTTTCTACCCAATGCGATAGATAAAGCACTATTTACAATCTTATATTACCTATATTACTATATTAACTTATAGCTAATTATCTATAATGCAAGTTTTGTGAATTCATTCAGAGTACAAAAGAATAAATCTGTTTCTCTGTCGATCAGGCTTAATGTTCGAAACGATCGCGTCAGGGGTGCCTCTCGCAGTAAGTTAGTGCGACATCCAGGGACGGCCAGTAGGTCTGGCTGACGCCACCGCCATATATACTTAGCCGGAACACAAATATTAACCTTCTTCAACATATTCTCGTTAATAATTCTACCTCTAAGCACCATAAAAGTATATGAAACTAATCTAAGTTCTCTCCTTACCCTGAGCTGATTGTATTCCACCATACCCAGAACAAATAATGTGGGATATTGCAGTGGGTAAAATGGGTACACCCCATATAACTTAAGATACAAATACCTTACATATTTGTTTTGTACTTTCTCCAGCATTAGATCGTACTTCTTCTCATGAGGAGCCCAAATTATTGAATTACACTCCAAATGACTCCGAACTAGTGTGTTGTACAAAGATATAATAGCTTGCACATTTGTGAAACCGTTAACTGTACGTAACGTAAAACCTAGAGTTCTAAAAGCCTTTTTACATGTTTCAACAATATGATCCTTAAGTTAAATCAGCAGAAAATTTTACTCCTAAATTCCTGACTTGCATTACTAGACATAGGTGTCCTGTCAATGTAATATTTATACTCTATGGGCTTATGTTTGCGTGTAAAAGTTGAGCATTTAGTGATATTAAATTGTAATTTCTTATCTTTGCTCCATTAAACAACTCTATTTATATCGTCTTGGAGACTGTCACAGTCCTTTAATCTACCTACATCCATCGATAACTTAAGGTCATCTGCAAATAACAAACATCTTGATTTCTTCACAACATTGGGTAAGTCATTTATCATGATTAAAAACTCCAAAGGTCCTAGATTCGACCCCTGACTCATACCAGACCATGTAAAATATGGTTTAGTCTTATGACCCTCATATTCTACATACTGTTGCCTATCTATCATGTAACTAGCGAAAAAACTCAATAAGTGTGGGGTGAAACCAAATTTTGACATTTTTTTAAGTAACATGTTATTATTAACCAAATCAGATGCTTTTTTGAAATCAAAATAAGCAGTATCAGCTTGTCCCCCACTATCTACTACCGGTATTATATTGGTCACAAGCGCTAGAAGGGTACTTGCAGTGCTCCGAGCAGATCTAAACCCATGCTGCGCTTCCGACAGCTGTGTGTTTATCTGTTGATATAAGCTTTTGTATATAGCCGACTCAAATACCTTGGCTGGAGTAGATAGGACTGTTACCGGTCTAAAGTTCTAAGTACTGGTCCCTGTGGTTCCTTTTGGAATGGGAACCACCTTCGTTATTTTCCATTTTTCCGGAAATCTAGCTTGGTTTAAACAGTTATTGTAAATGTGAAGTAGTGGTTTTGCTAGCACAGAATG